GAGAGAGAAAGGAGGCGGGAAGAGAGGGAAAGGGGGAGATGAGAGTGGTAAATGATTTTAGGGTTTTGGGGTGAAATTTGTATATATAATATTTAATATTTAAATATCAAATACCATATTTCTGAACAATCGAACCTTCACCCCTGATTTTTGAATTTGGATCTTCAAAGGTAGGGTTTTGTGTAATTTTCCCAAAATATAACCCGTTTGCTTTTCGTTTTAAATTTGTCGGTTTTCACAATTGCCACATCATCATGTCATGGACGGTGTCAACCGGACTGTACACATAGCGCGACCATTCATATTATTTGAATTATTACACTTGAGTTGGTTATTCAAAAAGTGTGAGTAAGTGATAAGGTACTGAAATTTTAATATTATTTGACTGAATTGTGAAATTTTGAATTCAAAGCAATCATGTCATGTTAATTAATTAGCATTTAAATAAGAATTTGATATTTACTATTATAATAATGAAATATCAATAATGTGACAAATTATGTGAAATAATGGGATACGACATTTCAATCACCTCCTCTTTCTTGTTTTTCATTCCTAGTTTCCTGTGAAAGTTTCCTACAAAAATAAATTCAACGCAAATTGTATTTTTAAAAAATAAAATAAAATATGATATTTGATTTCTATTTTTCCCAAAATACATTTTTCTCTCTTTTCTTTTTAATCACACATTTTTCAATTAAATAATACTATACGCAAATAAAAAAAATCATTCTTTTTTAATCACACATTCTCAATCAATCTACTACTTCAGAATACATTCTTAAAAAATAATGGAGCTCAAACACCCTATAATATTTGTTTTTTGAAAAGTAATCAAACCATAATATTTATTATTATATTAATTAATTATTCTTGTGAACTAAAAAATATTAAAAATGTAGAAATTTCAAATGTACCTTAAAATAATAAGAAATCGCATGAAACTTGATTTCAAACTACAAAAATGACAAGAGTCACTACAAACTTTTTAACATCAACAAAATTGAGTGTCCTGAAACATATAACAAAGAATGCAACTGATAAGCTAACTGCTATGAACAAATAATAGGTCAACCCTTAAAGATCTTTGTATTTAAGATTGCGATTTTGAAGGGGCATTCCTTTCACAGATCTTCCTCCTGATCATTCGTTCGAGCTATATATGCTCCATCTCTTCTTCATGTCTCTTCTGCTATTTTGTTAGAATTCTATACACTTCCTCTCCTCTTCGAGCCTCTTTTCTTCTATTTGTTGTTTGAACTCTACACTCTTATGCTCTTCTTTCAGTCTTACCTCTTTTATTTAAAATTATGACCTTTCTTATAAGCTAATTAGTGTGTGGCTCGCACGTTGTGTGAATTATAAGATAACATAAATAGGGTGTTCCCTTCTTATAATCCCACCTCTAGCCGTGTCCCAATATATCACGACACGAATGGTACATAATGAGCAAATTTTTGAAGTTTAAAAAATTCAGATAATTTATCATTATCTTGGATTGTTAAGGGGGGCATGGACGGACCTAGGGGGTCCTAGGGGGGCAAGTGCCCCCAACTTTTGGGATTTTTTTTTTATAAAATCATGTTTGGTATCAATTGAAATCTAAATTTTAATTTAAATCAAAGTTAACAATTAATTTTAATAACACATTTCATGAAATCCATAACTGTTTAACTTTTATCAAAATTTACTAAAAATTTGAATTTAATCTCCACCAAACATGGGCAAAATTACAATAAATTTGAATTTCGATAGCATGCTAATTTTAAAAATTCTCCGATGATCATACGTTAATCGAATCTACAANCGACGTCTAAATCGTATTTTTTTAAAAAAAAAAATTCAATTATTTCATTAACATTTATTATTTTTGCGATACAAATTTCTCAATGTAATTTTCATCATTTTATTAGGAAATTTTATATGGAATATGATATCAAAAAATTTCGAAATTTTACATCCGAAAAAGTCATATTCCATGTCAATTTTCGGATGTAAATTATTTAGGGTATGATTTTTTTGGACGTAAATTTTCGATTGTAAAATTTCTCATAACTTCTTTGTAAGTTCGATTGTGCCCCCTAATTTTTAAGGTCTGCGTCCGCCCCTGAATGGAGGGCAGGATAACCCCTTAATTTGCATTAGATGGTACTGTGGTGTCCATAATGTAACTTAGAATTTCCAATGATTTTTCAATTTAGCATTGATAAAAAGTAATTAATGGTTTCAACGTTTTTTAGTGTTGCTGCCTTTCAGTAAAAAAAAAAAAAATAGAGAAATTATGAAAATTTGTAATTTTGGTTTATTTTATTATAATTTCCTGTATTTATAGTATATAAAATATTGTGTTCTATATCATGAATAATTTTATTTTTATGGTTTTTTTCCAAAAAATTATTCATAAAGTAAAAATATGCGGACATAGGTTAACAAATAATATTATTGGGCTCAAAGACTTGGAAGCCCACTCTCAAACTACAATTTAGGGTTAAATTCCCTCCATCATTTAAAACCATTCTTTTCCGTTCCAAGAGAACAGGCAATCCAGAGGAAAAATGGTGCAGCGGCTGACATACAGGAAGCGGCATAGCTATGCCACTAAATCCAACCAGCATCGGATCGTCAAAACTCCCGGTAAGTTTCTGTCTATGGTAATGGATTTGTCGAAATTAATAGATATTTTTGAGCTTTTTAGCGTGTTGACTTGATAGATTTTGTGGGTGTTTGTGTGTGAAAAAATAGGTGGAAAGCTAGTGTACCAGAGCACAAAGAAGAGGGCAAGTGGTCCCAAGTGCCCAGTTACTGGCAAGAGAATTCAAGGGGTATGCCTTTTTCTTTTATTTATTTGTTCAAGATTGGATAGTGGAAATGGCTTTTGTTTTTATATGTTTGGAAAGTATGCATTAATCTGTTGTTTAAAAGTGTTTAATTATGGGTTTTATTTACAAGTATTATGTTTCTCCTATTCAAACAATTTAGTCGAATGGAAGTGAAGAGATTGTTCTTTTATGTGGATCTCGTCTGGTGGAATAGCATATGTTACTGAAACACTTTAGTAGCAAAATTGACATGAGTTGCTAAGAATAGAAATTTGCATTTATTTGGTATATTTTTTAATTTTGAAGAATCAAATGTAATGTCCCAAATATTATCAATCTTAGTGTCCCAACAAACTAGTTTCAGAATTTGCATTTTTCACTTTAAATACTCCGTTTCTTTTTAAGCTGTTTCAAGAAGCATTGGGATGTTTCAATGCTATTTCAATGACGAGGATCGTGAAATTGGTTGACAATGAATTTTAGGAAACAGATTCTTCCTATAACCTTGTCACTGATGGCAGTGCATTATTCAATGATGTGTCCAATTCAAATTGTGAACATGCCAAACTTTGTTTAGCTGGGCAGAGGAGAACCAAAAAACTTTCACTGTGTGTTTAAGAACTGCATAAATTTAATTCAACTTTCAATGCATGTGGATCAGTCTAATGAAATCTCTTGAGTCGTGCTAAACAAATGATTCTATATATATTAGAAATCTCATTTTTAATACATTTGTAGTTTCTATTGGTACTAATAGTAGATATACTCTATTTGCATACAATAAATTTTTCAATAGTTACTCAAAAGGAATATTTTGAGAAGACCAAAAACTAACAAATTGGTCTGAACATAAGGCTCAAACATCGAGGTCAAACAGAAACAAAGCCAAAACAATTCAAACCTTGTATGTTCGTTATGAATTTAGATTGGTCATGACTTTATTTAGAACAATAGTGTCGATTTCGTCCAAAGTTTGACTGTAGTGAATCGAATTCTTCCTGCAATATAACTACGTAGAGGTCCTTTTCTGTGGTGCAATTTTCCATAGCTTGTAAATCTGTCACTTGGAAGACTTGGCCATTGTTTGGGTAAAATTATTAGTAACTTATAAGGAGGAGGAATATTGAGTCATATGCAATGTTTGGATAATAAATGAGTAGTACTTAAGAACGTGTAGTTGAGATTAATGTTTTCTTTGACTGAAACTCTTAAGTTTCTAGTAATTTTACCCAAACAAAGGCTTAATTTAGATGTCAATAGCAAAATACTCTCACCTGTTCATCTGTTCATGTATTTGATCACAATGTTGGGTATAATGTGGATTTCAGGCTTTTGAAATCTTGTTTGCTCCCGTTAGAAGTGGTAAATTATTAAATTTTTACCGTCAAAAAAATATCTCAAATTTTCTATATTTGCAGATTCCTCACTTGAGACCTGCAGAGTACAAGAGGTCTAGATTATCAAGAAATCGAAGGACTGTGAACCGTGCTTATGGTGGAGTGTTGTCTGGAGGT